CATATTCAAAACTTAATAATCACTTTAATCTGGCTTGCGCCAACAGTTGTACACGCCGGTGAGTCTCGTGAAAACCAACGCTTGTTAACAAGAGCAAAGGAAGCAAAGAACCCTTACTTTAGCAAAGGAAAACCAGTCTCCTCTTGGCTTATATTGAAATCCTCCGACATTCTTCTTTACAAATCCTCGTTTTGTACTTCTAATTAGTGACCGTTGTTTTGATCTCTCCGCTGCGCTTCCACGTTCGTCACTTCTGAGCGGCGCATGCGCAGCGCTGACCTCATACGTCATCCGCCCGGAGCTGCTTCCATTTACAACAGTGAGCGCAAGCTAGATTAAAGTGATTATTATGTTTTGAATATGGATATTTTTCTTACAAAACGCATTGATTCACTACAGGAGGCTTTTGTTCACCCCACGGAGGCGTGCGAGACAGTTTATTTTTAAGGATGGGCGCTTTTTATTTCACTTATTTTGGACTGATGCATGCAACACCCGCTGAGTGCCATGAAACAGCTTGAAAGATCAAAGACCATTTTTAATATAACTCCGACTGGATTCGTCTGAAAGAAGAAAGTCATATACACCTAGGATGACTTGAGGGCGAGTAATTTATGGGCTAATTTTCATTTTTGGGTGAACTAACCCTTTAATAACTGCAGATCAGTAGACTACAAATCAAAATCAATGACGGAGACCGACATGATATGCGGGGAGAAATGAAAGATGTTTCTACGAATTAAGAATTTATTCCTACGACTTATTCATTTGTTCCCTCATTTTAGATTAATCATGGGTTATCTAGGGAACAAATGAATGAAACATGGACCGTGGCCACAAATTAATAAGTTGTAGGAACAAATTAACAAGTTGTAATATATATATATATATATATATAAAACTGCGAGTGAATTTAATATATATAAAATGCACTCACAGTTGCTTGCTCGTGTATTGCGCATGTGCCACACGCACCCCAAATTGAAATAGCTTAATCAACCATCGATACCTTTAATCGATTACATCTCTTATCGACAATTAATCGATCATCCCTAAACCCATTTTTTGATGCTCTGTACCCTCATTAACAGGTTAATTCCTTTTCACAATGATTTAGACACTAGACTGCTGCCATGTTCTCTACAGTTTGAAGTGAAAAGTGTATGTGAATCAGACAACAAACCTCATTTTTCTGGGTCTGACTGAGGGCCCAAACTGTTCCTAAAACCTCGCTGGAACTTCTGCGGTCAGGCAGACTCTCCATGATATACTTCATATCCACCTGGCCCTTCTGTTGGGGGGGCGGCTTGCGCATGGTGGAAGGACCATTGGGGATCCAGCCATACCAGTCAAACTGGAACATGAAGAAACTCTCAGATATTAGCTTATAGATATTATCAAGGATTTTGCCTATGAATTTTAAACGCTCTTTCCAATGATATGAAAGTGCGTAACCTCACCTGTCCAAAGTTGACAGCAGCATGTTGTGCTGAAGCTGTGAATATCACGGCAGTCAGATACTCGACCAACTGCTCTCGAGAAGTAAGAGACTTTGGAAAGTCTGTAAACAGTGGCAGTATGCATTTAAACTTGTGTAAACTTTTTAAAAAGTGACACACAAAGATGCATAGAGCATATATACAAAATGACAAACCATCATGCATGCTTGTAAAGACAGACAAGCATACACCGACTCTTTGAGAAGTTGAACCTGTACTCACTGTCAGAGTTATTCATGCCAAAGCAGGCAACATCCTTAACAAACTCTTGAATCTCCACATCTTTTTGAACCGCCTCATCGCTATCATAGTAGATCTTGACCACAGCAGAAACAAAGCTACAGAAAGATAGAAAGAAGAAAAAATGGTGGACTACTGTGTACTTTTGCACTGCAGGATCTGAACTGTTGCTACCACCTACCAGTGTATTGCCTCCCAGATCCTCATGCCATCATCTCTGTAATAATAGTTGGGCACATCTTCCATTCCTCGAGCTTTTATGTCCTCAGGGAAGCACAGAGACTTGTAGGTTAAAGTCTTCATGGCATTTTGTATCAGTTTCCCCATCCCAGCTCCATTGATGCTACTAACCTTCGGACACCAAGAATACAGTTCATATTTTGCCTAAATATTTTCAGAAATGAACTAGGCTGAAAGCATTTATTTAGGCTACTCAAGTGACCATCTAGAGGACAATGGGTGAAGGTTTCTTCCAGTGGATTTTTTCGCATTTGTAGATATTTAGGAAATACAGTACATAGGTCTGTCGCGGTTTACACAGTCTATTAAAGCAAACACTAAATATAACAAAGGCTATGAAACAGAATTAAGAGCTTTCAGCAAAAAGACAGAATATCACAAGCCAAAAAATCAGGTGATTCTGTCATGATGAAGGTTTGTTAACATCACGTGCGTTTTTAAATTTATATCACGGACAGAAATGATGGCTTGCCAGACAAACACAATAAAAATCAAATATGAATAGAATTGCTTTGGATCCTAACAAGATGCCGTTTATGTTTGGATATATTAAATTAGCTTTAAAGCTACCTTGGTGAAGATCCCGTCTTCACCGATGAGCTTTTCTCGGGCCTCTGCATTGATTGCAATTGTAAAACGAACATGAGGCATCAGTAACTGTAAGAAGCAAATGATGGTGCGTTAAATCATAAAACATTGATTCAAAAAGCATTATGTGATACAGCAAAGGTGGTTTCTATGTCGTGCTCTGGACGTTTTTGGTTAACATTAAACCATGGTTGACAAAAGGCAAGGGTATCAGAACCAGCAACCCTTCGTTAGTAAGCTGACGTACATGAAACCACAATCTCCAGTTTAGCACGGAATCTAAATATCATGACTGTGTGCTGAAATACAGGTACCTTGTATACTGGATGGACTGCAGCGAGCTGTCTGTACATGGCCAGTTCAAAAACCTCTGACACCAGATGTGTCTTGAGAAGGTGTGTGACCAGCTGGTGTACATGGAAGTCAGAAGATTTCACCCACATCTTGGCCAGCATCCAGATATGCGTATTATCGCTTGGGAGAAAGATTGGGCTCATTGCCCCTGGGGTTTGACTGAGCTGATTCAGATATAATAAAGGCAAGCAGGACATTTTTTTCTTCAATGAGTAAATTCACTGCAAAATTACTTTTATTTTTAGTTAACCCCTTGATGCACAACATGGGTCTAAAGTGACCCATTTGAGTTTTTAGTTTCTATATCTTTGCAAGAAATTAATTTCATCATTCAGTATTCCAGGTATTCCTCGATGAACTTGTTTTTGATTTTTCTTTTACAAACCTTCTAATGCACAACATGCAAGTCTTATATACTGTACATAACAACAGTAAATATTTGATACATTGTGAAAGATATTAGAAACGGTTATCCACGCATACAACTCATCAAGACCGGACTACTGTATTTAGGCGGCACTGAATCTTTTTTGTCTCGACTTCAGTTTGTCCAAAATGACTTTTAACAAGGACTAGGAAGAGGGAAAATATTACACCTGTTTTGGCTAGTTTGCACTGCCTCCCCATTGAGTATAAAATCCAGTTTAAGTTATTATTGTTTGTTTATAAGTCTGACAGGCTTGGCACCAAACTACTTATCTGATCTTTTCTCCCATTATCAGACCATCAGGCCTTTAAGCCAAGCATGAAATAACAGAAAATGAATACGGGTCATGTCATACCCATGTTGGGCATTAGAAGGGGTTTGCATAGCTTGTGCATCAAAGGGTTAATTTATGTTTTAATTTTATACTGATTCTATGTGAGACAGATACCTGAATGGCAACTGGCACAATTTGGTCCAATTCATTCTTGTACAGTAGGCAAATGGGTGCAGTCAAATGGCGCTCGCTGCTGGCTGCTGGCACTCCCTTCAGTATTTCATAATCCACTATGTAGACGTTTCCTGCCTGCAAACGTGTACACAGGTGCGTAGTTCAGAACAAATGATTTGTAGGTTAAAATAACTAAGAAATTAAAATATGCGAAGGATGTCACAACACAAGCGAGTCTTGGATTTGATAACTGACCAGCTATGTCTTCTTGTTTCTGACCTGTAATTCCTCTCGGAGTGTGCTTCCTTTCTTCAGACAGCCCTTAACCATCTCATGTGTGACTGGAAATTTGTCTGGAAGTTTCATGCACTTCCTGATCATGACAGGATTGCAGCCGTTCAAAAACTGATAGCCAAACATGTAATCCTTATTCCAGTCTCGCATCACGTTCCCTGTCCGGATTTCAAAGGGGAAACTTGAGTCAAATGTTAAAGGCTTTACAGGTATGAAAACTGTCTCCACATTGTTTGCTTCTCACAACAGTTGTTATTTTTGAGCTGATCGGTGGTTGGAGCTACGTCTGGGAGCATGCCAAGGTTTGAGGGAATCGCCAATTTAATTGGTTGTTCTTCTCGGATTACGGTATTAGGTGCGTGTATGCTTGAAGATTAGGGTCTACTTAGGTTTATTTATTGGTAAGGTGTGAAGTTTAATCTTCAGGGCATTAATATTTATTTTTCTCTTTTCCCCTGTTTTCGGAATGCTTCTTTTCTAGGAAATTTTTGTTTTATCAGTTGACCTTATACAATCGGTTATTGAAAAAGAGGCGTTGGCGCTGGTTGGGGACCATTATGATTTACTGCAATCATAATCCCCTGATGTTTTTGACAACCCTTCAGAATCCTAATCAACGGTTGATGCGATGGTCATTATGTTTGGAACCTTATAATTTGGAGATCCGCCATATAAAGGAGAGGGAAACTATTTTGGCAGAGGTCTTGTCCCGTGCACCTGTGTCTTAAAAGTTGATGTGATTCTCTATGGCTTTATGGTTGTGTCTGTCATTGTTTCTCTTCCCAGGGCCGGGTTGGGGAGAAGTGATGGAGCTAAGGTTATTTTGCGTTCATGTAAACACATTCAAATTCATGGCACTTAAGGTGCCCATGTTTGGTTCAGGTGTGCTTTATAGCGTCCTGGTCACGACCTCTATGACGTTCTGTTACGCCATTGGACTGATTTCACACTTTTGCTTCACGACTCAGTCGTGCACGCGTTCCCGTAGCATCATAACTTCCGACACAGTGCGAGTTTCCTCGAAAGGCAACAAACATTCTTGACAGAGGAAGAAATCATCCAAACCTATTAGAGTGTTCTTGATATTGTAATGCACCAATATCTCTTTAAAATCGGCAATGTCTTTCCAGGACTCAAAGAAACCATCAACTTTGTCAATAACTGAATCCTCAACCCTGAAACAGAATGCATACA